CGCCCCGCGGCCTGGGCCGGGCTCGGGGCCAGGCAGAGCTTCCCCTCGGCGCGGGAGGGGGCCGTGCAGCGCTTCGCCCCCTGGGGTACCCCCCTCCCGGGTGTGGGGATTTGGCCTTGGGCTTGTCTCGTTTCAGCCACAACTGAGCAGGTGGGCAGGGCAGCTTTGTGGCCCCAACCTGTCCAGTCCCTTGACGGCGGTAGTCCCCCCCCCCAGTCAGGGCTGCTCTCAGCGCTTCCCTTTTGCAGGGTCGCTGCGCCTTCCCCGCCAACTTCGTGACTTGTGGAGAGCCTCCCAGGTGCTGTCATTGATCGCTGGCGGGCTGACACGTGCCGCGTGTCTGGAGCTGACCCCAGAGCTGTGAGCGGGGTGGGTATGGGGGCCAGGCACCTTTATGCGGGACACACTTATTTCTCCCCTCTCTCCTGCTCAATGCTATGGCTAACTTGGCAGCGCTGAGTGTTTCCAGGATTAGGTCCTTCGTTGGTGCCTTTAAAAATAAATAAATAAATAAAAAATAAATAAATAAGAGGGAAGAGGAAAGAGCTTTCTACAGAGCCCCTTTAATCAGCAACAGACCCAGGTTACTGTCCAACTTGGACCCTGACCCTGTGGTCTGATCCTGATGACAGGCCCACAGACTGTGACATCTGACCGGTTGGCCTCTGTGGAGTCACTGCAGCTGTGCGAGGGTGCAGGTGTCTGCCCCCAGGATCAGGGCCTCAGACAGCAGGTTTCCAAGTGATTTGTGATGGCAAGTAATCTGGTTAAGGTGCATCTAATTCCTAGGTAGGACTTCTTTTTTATAATGCTAGTGCCCAAAATGAAAGGATATTTTCCTAGGAGGAAGTGTGCTGGTCATAATTGTGAAGAGGGTCCACTGTCAAACTGATACATCTGCTGCAGCATAGGTGACTTGGCTTTGCGTAGGTGAAGCGGTTATAGATACTACTCACTTGCACAAATGCACTTTAAAAATATTTCAGCTTAAGAACATTCATTGCCCTGTACAAATAATGATGAAGCATTTTTAGAAGCAACAGCATGCTTGACTTCGAGACTGATCGTTCCATTTTCTGCTTTCAAAATACCTAGTTACAGTTAGTTCTGATTTTGTTACTTAGCAACACATGATAAATTTGTATTTTTCCCCATTGTGGGCACTTCCTGACAGTTGATATGTCATTTGTTTTAATTTGCGGTGTTGTAAATTTAGGGCATAGTGTCGTACCCGGGGCTCAGCTATCCTGTGTTTGAGCAGTAGCATTTAATGATGAGACTTTGCTGGCCAAACATTACAGATTGGCATTCCAGCTTCAAAGCACTCTTACACTGTGCAAAGTTGGCAATGGGAGGCCGATGGGGTAACTGTGACTTTTTGTCAGAGCTTTGAACTGAGAGGCCCTTCAAGTGATTTCTCTTTACTCAAAATTTATATTGGTTCTATTTTGTCTTGGGGGAAAATGTAGAAATTAACTTCATTAGGAAAACAGTCCATAGTGTCTCTAGCATTATTAATTTTTGGTGTTTCACTGTTGTCATGGCAAACAAAAAAATTGCGTCCTGATCCTACAGAAATTTATGCAAATACTTACCTTTGCATATTTTGTGGCATATCCTTATTTGCTACAAATTGCTGTAATTCCATAATGACACTGTGAGTGTACAACCATTCAGACTCTGTTCTGAGTAGCCTCATTCACTTATTTTATACTGATATTTTTTAGTCGATGGGCTTCTTGCAACATGTAAAGATAAGCACAAATTTATGTCTTTGCATCATTAGAACTGAAAGCATATTCTTTCTGTTAAATGTTTTATGCATATTTAAAATTTAATTATTTGAAAATAAGTATTATTACTGTTCATAAACTTATTACCACTTCCATATCATGGTTGTTTTAGAAAAACATGCAGGAACGCGTCTAAAAGTGGCTAACGTGTTTTCAAATTGGATAGGTTCAAGGCCTAAAAGAAGCCTTTCAAGAGAGCATGTTCTAGGTTTTCAGAGATTTTTCACAGTCTATCTTTAGTCTCAGTTTTCTCACTATATTCTAGTTTTGCTATTTATAGTCTATCGCTAGGATAACTTTTATTTACTTATTTTTGCAATAAAAGATTACACTTAATGCTGCTTCTGAGGCCCTTTATCCTGCAACCTGATTGCACTGGTAGACTAGTCCCATTGAAATCAGCGAGATTGCTGCAGGCATGAGAGTCTGCCTTTGAGGATCTGATTGTCGGATGAGGGCCTTAACATTTACTTTAAATACCGAAGCTGGTATTAATACTGCTTCAGAAGACATACAGCCTGTCTTGGAGTCTAATACACATGAGCAGTCCTAACGTAGGTGAATAATCTCATCAAAGTCGAGGGGAATACTCCCATCAATAAAGTTTCAAATATCAGACCCTCTTCCTGTGCACAGCTCTAAGTGATCACTGGTATTTCATTTTGGGTACCTTTGTACTGTTTGTCAAATAATGGGAGCTGTTAGAATTAAAATTCACACTTCTGTGCATTTCCCAAAGGAGAGTATATAGAAGAATCTATTCAGTTTTTGATCGAAAACATGTATGTTAAGTAGATCTCTTTGATTTTGCTTCTTAAACCCCATTGTAATCTAAGCACATTATCAACAAGAATAATGGCTTATTTTAGGTCAGTACTGTACAGATCATTACTGACCTAAAATGTACCATTTTCTCCCTTTCAGCCTTTTAACATAGTGAATATTTTAGTTCCATGCAGTCATCTTTCTACAGACTTGGAGCCAGAACAGTTCTGTGAAGACAGAATGAGGACGGTGTTGCCACTTCTAGCTTAGGTAGATTTTAATGTATGAGAAAATAGTCAAATATAGATTTACAGATGGTAATTAAAGAGAAATGCTGCTGAGACTAAATTAACATTTCTGAAATCTGAAAGTCAGCATTGAAAACTGCCATGTAAAACTTGAATCACCTGTCTTCTAAAATGTTCAGCATGCAGTGTTAAATCCTTTTTTTTTAAAAAGATGAAGGCAGTTTTTTTGGCCAATACTTTTCTATATCAGCAGTGGTAATGCCATTGTATGAGGAACTGTGTGTGTTTGTGTTTGGTCAGTCACTGGTGTATCCTTGTATACCCATCCTGCACATGGGTTTTTAGTGCACGCTTGTACTTGCATGGCACACTGTTGGTATCGCTTAGAATTTTCAAAGGGTTTTCGGCATAGGGTTTCTACAAATACTTTTTGCTTTCCATAGTTCCCCACATTCTACTATACATCTCTTTGAAGTCTATTTTGTTTTGCTGTTGTTTCCCGAATTGTTAGTGTATTTTGTTTGTAGTTGAGTTCTTAACCAAACTAAAATTTTGATTAGCTTATGGCTATATAGTAGTGATGGTGATCACAGCAAGGTGTGGTGTGCCCTTTCTCAGTGAAACACAAAACTTTTTAAAGGGGGATTAAATGGCTCAAGAATGGAACCTTTCAATGCAGCTGACTACACCACCCCACTAGCAGGTAGTGAAAGCTATTAATGAGGGTGGAGATGGCTCTTAAGTGTCTGTTCTTTGTGATGGGTTCCGTGGTCTCCATCCAGCTCTGAGTGGGCTGATGTCCCCCTCAAGCAAACCATGGCCAATGTTGTCATAGTTCTTGTCTGTCTTAGCAGCGAGGCCAAAGATGGAATGAGAGTAAAAGGTGAACCTGTCATTCTTGGAGGTGGGCTATCCAGGTCAGGCCTGTGGAAAAACAGGGGGAGCCAGCATGACAATCATCCACTCTATGCTTGCTCTGTGAATGCATAGAGAACTTTAGTGTCTATAGCCTATAAGTTGCTACCTTTTCAGAACACGTATATGGACAAGGCAGCACGTCTGTCAGATGCTATGTATGCAGTCAGGGGAGCAGTGCCTTAACTCCACGCTAAGCATTAAAAAATACCAAACAATAGAACTGAGGCATCTTTAATGATGACAAGTATTTGGATGCTATGCTGTGACCCTTTAAGCTCAGTCCTCATAATTATACATCTTTAAAGCACAGACAGATAATTGCAATACAATTTACAATGCACTTGAGGATTCCATTCCTTAAAAGTGCCTCATGCATGTAGAATTTCAGGCTCCAAGCATACATTTTAAAATGTAACTAATCCATGTGAATTAAAGTATTATTATATTTGCAATGCAAGTGTCTTCTCAGATTTTTTGTGTGCTTAAAATCTCATGGGCTCTCCAGCTATGACCAGCAACCAATTTCCACTGTAGCCTAGAATACACGTCATGTACCAAGTTCCTACCTAACCTAAAGTTAATGCTTGATTTGATTTTACATGCAGGAATTCCTATACTATGGGATTGTGCCACAGAACTGTTTTGCCATGTGTCCAACCCATCTTTACCACATATCCCATTATGAAATCAAGTTCTTTGTCTTTCACCTGCCCAGACAGAATTTTTACCAGAAAAACAGGTTTTATCTTCTGTTCATTCCTTCAGAAGGAGAAAGAAAGGAAATGTTATGACCCTAAATTTCAAACATTACTACTATTTCACTGACACTTGTTTTCTAGGCCCTCGTCTGAACTTCTCCTTGGTACTTCTGACTAAATCCTCACTGATAATGATGATCACAAAGAGGTATGGTGTGACTTCTCTTAGTAAAATAGAAAACTTCTTAAGAAGCATTACACTGTCTGTAAATGTTTCTAAATACATGGCCCTGGACATTTCATATGTAGACCTGCCTTTTACCTAGCTAAGTAACCAGTTTGTATGGACACATGGGATAATTGCAGCACAAATTCTGAATGTGATTAGAATTTGTGTGAAGACTCATTCTGAGGAACAGATCTGAACCCCAGGTCAAGTTTCAGGCTGTTTCGTGCCCTGGAATTTTTGTTGCAGAGTACAGCATCTTAAGCCTTTGACTTTCCAGAGGAAGTCCACATTTTCAGTTTTCATCTATTACTGAATCCTATGGGGCAAAAATAATCTCTCTCCCGCCCACTAGTTAACAAACTGTAGTTTCAGTTCTTTTCAGATAAGCTACTTGTGCTTATTACAATGTTTAGAGCTGCTTACTAATTTAGTGGCAAGAAAGCACTCTTGCTCTTACTTTCTGTCTTGCATTCTCTCTTTTATTTAAAGAACATACATTTCATTTAGAATAAATTGCTAGTTTAATGTCAGATCAGAATCAAAAGATGGAAAGGTCTTACAGTTTTGCAGATGTTAGGATAGTGAAAACAAAAAGTGTTTTTTGATGCAGTATAGCATTGTGTTAGTATAGGCCTTGATCTTGCCATTACTAAATCCCTGCACAGCCCAGTGACTTCACTGGGGCTCTCTGCAGGCACATGGGATAGTTCAGACAGATCTGAATTGATGCAGTGGACAAGTGCTATAGTTTTATGTAATCAATAGATTTGAAAGGTTTTTTGCTCGTTGCTGTAGAGTCATAGTAGTAGTAATAGTAGTAGTAGATGCTGACTTCCCATTTGGCAGATTTTTTCACATGATTATGTTGCATTCATGAGTTTGCTCTGGTGCACAGGCACATAATCTAGGTTCAGGCTCACTAATTCTTCCTAAAGACCTATTGATTTATATTCATTTATATATATTTTATAGTTCTATTTTACATGACCTCATAATTGCGTAGTGTCTTATAGTTGAAGTAAAAGGATCTTGAAGAGCTAACATTTTCAGTTAAACCAAGAAATCCAACTAGTTTAAGAATGGACCATGAAGAAAAGTGGTAGGGAAGTAGCTTTGTGGAGTAGGGGAAGGGAATACAACTCAGGGAAATGGTGGCTTTCCTACAGAAAGCCAATCTTGGAACACTGACTACTGAATATTTTTTGTTGGTTTTAAATAACTTTTTTTTTTTGTTTTGTGCCTCATCTTTGAAAATCTTCATAGAAGAAATGTGTTAGGAGGGATGTAAAGGAAGAGGAGGTGGGTGACCAGTAGAAGACTATTCAAGGTGTAAAAGCAGCAGCTTGAAAGAAGGCATAAAGACATGAATAAGAGAAGAAAACAAAGGGAAAGGTTAGGCAACTGACTGTCCTCCTCAGATGAAGCCTGGAAGGACAGGTGAATCTTTCAACTTGTCCTGAATGTCGCCAGCTCCAAGCTCTGGCTAATCGAGGAAGGAAGCAGCTCCAGAGCAAAAGACCTGCAATTAGCCTCATTTATTTATTTATTTTTTAAATACATAATAGTTCATTCAAACACCTCAGTTTATTTTAGGTGCTGTAGTAATAGATGAAGTAATCTTTTATATAATGGGACCCAGGCCATTTACAAGCCCTAAGGGCAAATCCAAATAAAACCTGAAACATCTTACTTTAGCTCTCAGTTACATTGTGCAGGGATGTATTGTGCAGATTGCTTTTGAATTTTTACAGTACTTGGTGCATTCAGAGAAATTAGAGGACATGATTACTAGTTTGGGATACTAGTATAGATAATTACTGAGGTGGTTTTTATGATAAGATGTTAATCCTTTATTGTGCCTTCGTGTTCTGGTGCAAATTGAGTCCTGAAGTGCTATATGTAAGTGAATGTATGAAATTGTTCTCCAGAAAGTGTTCTGGTGTAAAGGTTTTCTAGGCATATGTTGGGAGGGTCCTCATTACTTACGGATGAGTTATGCAGATCACCCCAAGCTTGTCAATAAACACTTCACAGGGCATGGCCCCATCATGTATTCTGTGGGCCACAAATGTTGTATCAGAGGTGTTAAAGATATGGCTTGTGGGCCAGATTTTGCCTGCAGAGCTGTTTCACCCAGCCCGCAGGGGGTCCTTGATGGGCTGCAAATTCAAGGGTAGGGCAAGCGTGACAGGACCCACCACTGACTTTCCAGCTAGAGCCCTTGATTTGATGTATGTTGGCAGAGGGGAAGGTGAGTGTGTGTGGCATAAGAGATGGCAGAACTAGTAAATTGAAACACTCCCCTAAATGGCCATCTAATAGTTTCTGTGGGCCCCAAATGTCACAGTACTGGGTGTTTTCTTGAATGCTGGGAGTGAAGTCTTGACCCTCTTGGGAGCCCTGCTGGGAAGCTGGGAGTCTTCCCCTTTCCTATGCTGTCAAGCTACTCTTCAAGCCCTTTTGGTGTATGGGTAATAAAGTTATGGCACTTCCACTTATTTTGTGGCCTAGGGTGGAATCTGAGCCTCAGGCAGGAATGCAGTACTTGCAGTAGGAAGGCGAAGGAAGCCTTTTTCTGCCAGATTGTTTGAAACTCCTCTGGGGGTTGTAATACTAAAATGTTTCCTGGGGAAACATAGTGGGGAGAAGATAGGTCAGGTGGTCATGGATATATGATAAATTACGAAGGCAGGCATCAGATGTATCGCACGTGTATCATCACCTCGATATGTATTGTGCAGGTATAATGTACAAAAAGAACTTAACTTGAAACGGAACATGCCAAACTCACAAGACTGTATTTCAGTACTTTAGGGTTGTTCGTTTGGTTAATAGTTACCTCTGTCAGTTCAAACAGCCTTGCATAGTCTACATTTAGCATTAGAAAAGCAGCTGCATAATGTGTGTACAGCTAAACTTAATTAAAAGCTACTCTGGAAAAGAAAGAACGGATTGCCAAAGACTCCAGAGTGGTGGGGAACCAGAAACGAGAAGGTAACTTATGATTTCATTCTTTTAATATACCTTAGCAACCACTATATTTAAAGAAAAAACAGAATTTCTTGATACAGCTAAGGGGTGAAGTGCTGGAAGTCACCGGAAATTCTGCCATTGACTTCAGTAGAGCCAGGATTTCACCCTGTAAGTGTAACAAAATAGGTCACCTTCTGAAGAATCCCATTGGCCTTTGGGAAGTAGCTGCTTGTTGATTCTTGCTGGGTCTGGGGGCAACTAGAGGCTCTGAAAACCATGTACCAAATGTGGTACAAGTATCTAGAATACAAGCTTACCTGCGCTGAGTGGTAAAATTCAATTCTTATGCAGTGGGGTTATTACCTTCCAAAAGGCGAAGACCTTCTCAGGGTTATTCTAACCAAGGTATTCCTTTGAATACATCCGTGCAAAATTTTGGTTTAGTTGATATGTCTCCATTCCAGTTAATGATTGAACTTGGATTACCTAATCGATCCAGCTTGTTGCATCTGAGCCCCATGCTGAGAGGCAATATTCAACGCTTTTCTTATTAAACAAAATGGTCCTGTCTGTTTTAATCTTGACTGACTTGGACCTCTTTGATATTTCTCTTAGACAATCTGCTTCAACTTGATTCGTCGTCATTCCAGGATAGTGGTGTCCTTGGGGTCTCTCCTAATATTGATATGGTACAGAAGATTTAAAATCAGGTACTGTTTTGGGCTGCTCTCCCACAAAAGCAAAATCTAGAATTTAATGCATTTTGTGTGTGTGATTTATCTTTATTTTTGGTTCTTTCAGCTGATGTTCACAAGGAATAGAGTCACGTGATGTATGAAGGCAAACACATACACTTCTCTGAGGTTGACAATAAGCCCTTGTGCTCATACAGCCCCAAACTGTGTAAGCAGAGGCGACTTAACGGCTACGCCTTCTGTATCAGACACGTTCTGGAGGATAAGACTGCCCCCTTCAAGCAATGTGAATATGTGGCCAAGTATAACAGCCAACGCTGCACCAATCCCATCCCCAAATCTGAGGACCGTAGGTGAGTGATGTTGGCCCTCAGCAAATTGGAAAAAGATTCAGCTAGTTTGGATACAGGTGTGGCATTTCTGTTTAGGGAGAAATAGATCAAGTAGATTGAATAGCAGCATGTTTGTGAAGGGTTTTAATTTTAAGGCCAGTATGCTTTTTTTTAACTTATACAATATATTTGCAAGCCGCCTTATTGTTTTTACTCAATTTCACTGTAAGATACATGAATCAAACTTGAACCAAGTGTAATATTGTCTCTTCTTCATTTGTTTAGCCACTGATGCTACATGTGAACTGATGCTTTTAAAAGTTTCATTTTCCTGAAGAAGCTGCATGGAAATCTGGTTTTGACAGGATAGGCAAAATGTGGTGCTGGGAGAATACATGGGCTTCTAGGAAGAGTTTGGGGATCAGTGGCCTCAGGGCAGTTCAGCACTCTTGATCCAAATATGTACTCATATAATGCCTATCACTGTAGTATCAAAGTACCTCACCTGTTTAATAAACACGTCTTCATAGCAGCCCTGTGACATAGGAAGTCTCATGGAAGTGTCATCAGCACCTTACAGAGGGGTTATTGGAGCACAGGAATTATATGACATGCCAAAGGCTGCATTGAAAGCCTGTGGCAAAAGTGAAATTAAATCTCCTAAATCCTAACTTGGGGCCATAGATACAAAATTATTCTTCCTCACCCCTTAAGACTGTGATAGACATTGACATTATTGTGACATTGAGCAAAAAGAAGAGGAGAATTAGGCCATAATTTCCATATGTTCCCACTGACTTGCATTCATTTAAATTGTGGTCAGGAATGCAGCTAGCTTCTAATCTTAGTTTCCACTACTTTAATTTTCAAGAGAGCCAATGCCACACTTTTTACCACAAGTCTGGTATTTCATCTTTTGAAATGAAGTGTTTGGTTAAATATCTGAGACTGGGCTTTGTCCCATGGAAACCATAGGATTTTTAAACTAAAAAGTAAACAAAATATGCCAAAAAAAAGACGGATTGCTGTTCACTGACCTTTCACATTATTAGATGCCATTCACTAACCTTTCACATTATTAGCAATGTTCCCACTGTGCCCTACCTATAAGTTCCTTCTCAGTTCACAGCTCCCTCTCTTATCTGAAATAGCTGGGATTGGGCTCTAAATTAACTTGCACTTCACCTGCCATTTTAGCTGAGGAGACTGATGAAGTGAGAAGAAAACTTGAATGTTTGTCAAAAGGTGTAGAGCAAATTCTCAAATGGCACTGTCTGAATAACTTGAAGTCATGACCTGACAGTCATTGACTGGTTCTTTGCTACTGTACAGTAGAAACTGTTTGGAGGTTAGCTAACAGAAAAATAACCCTGGACATTGTCTGATCAAAAGTTACGCTGCTATTTCAGAGGCAAGAACTAACTGGACAACAGGTCCTGGCCATGCTCTAGTCATACTTCAAAAAATAAATAAATTTTTAAAAAGGCAAAAAAAACAACAACAAACTCTTCACAAAAAACTTAGTGAGGGTTCCCAGATCTCATATGTCCCCATGAAATTTGAGATTGCTTTATAAAGTACAAAGCCAATTCATTGTGTAAAATGAAACAATCAAATGTGTACAGTATAATGTGGTGGTAGCTTCTGGAGGGCATTGTTTTAGAATAATTAAAGTGCATGTCAAGCATCACATTACAGTACTCGAAGAGGACAGCAGGTGTGTCAAGGAGGGAATAAACCTTTAATCTCAAATGAGAAAATGGGATAGGTTGGAATTAATACTTTCAAATATGGCTTCTCAGAAGGGATTTTACAGTTAAACAATAGAATTTCACAGGTTTCTAGTAAGTTTGAACCAGATACAAACCATATTTTTGGTAGGCATGTCTGTCTCTCTTTTTTGGAGAGATTTTTCACTGTCTGTTCACTGTAAATCTGTTTAGCCATTTCTGGAGTCCTCATTTGCAGCCTTTAATTTTCTAACTTTACTTTATCTGTCATAGTACAGTCTAACTTTCATTATACAATGTTAGGTCCAAAAAGGTGCAGGATCAAAAGGAAACCATATCAGTTTTTGATTAGTGGGCGCATCTACACAAGACATTTACTGCACAGTTGACTAATTAACTGCAGTAAACGTCTCAACATCTGTGTGTGCACCTCTGTTAGGGCGCATGAAAGTAATAAACTCTGCAGCAGGGTAGTACTTGTAAATACAAGTACTACCTTGCTGTGGAGTTTTTTCAGTGAATGTGTAGACACCAGTCCAGCTGGCTGGGGCATGAGGGTGCTTCAATGCGGGGATTGCCCCAGCCAGTCCCTCCACAGCACATTGAGCCTAGTTGGAGCAGCCCTAGGCTGGCAGGCTGACCCCCTGGGCCTCCTGCCAGCTGGGGCTGCTGCAACCTGGCTCAGTGTGCTATGGTTCGAGTGCATGTTTAAATGGCATGCTTGGGAGCTTCCCAGGAGTAATAAACAATAAGCTCTGCAGTTTATTGCTGCACATTAATGGCATGTGTAGATATGCTCAGTGCCATTGCCATCCTTTTTCATTTTTAAGTTTTAAAAATTATAACAGAAGGGGGCAAATACATTTGTATGCCAAGAGCCTACAAGAGAGAATGTTTCCCTGACCCTGAAGTATGGAGTCAGATGCTACCAACCACAAATTTGGTTAATGTTCCTTTAACTTGTCAATATTCCTTGTTAACTATTCATTTTCTACAAATCAAATCTATGATTAGTGCATGACTTAATGACCTTACTAGAAATCTATTCTTATTCAGTGTACTCTGTAAATTATATATGTTTTATATTTAGAATGTATGAGCCCCAATTTTTTTCCTGTCCAGTTACTATAAAAAGATAATGAAACTCAATTTTGTTTTTTTTAATTACGGTGTTACACTTTAGCTAGATTAGACTCACCATTTTACCTCTTAAGTCTCTTCTTTAAAGATGTAATTAATCCATATTTGTCAGTGTTTTCTGGTTGTAAGTCCCTCATTTTCCACTTTATCCCATTTATTGACATGAATGATATTTTCTGAATTAAGTATATCCTTCTGTAAACAAGGTGACTGGAAATTAACACTGATAAATCCTGTATGGACTAGGATAAGCAGAGTGTTTTAGGCATTAGGTGAAAAGCATGACTTGCTTTAGGCCTCTGCTCTTCAAGTCAGGTTGAACTTATCTTGTTGGAAGACAACAGAGTTTAACATCCTTTGTACACACCATGTTTGCTAGTTCTAACCAGGATCAACTCACTCCTCTTTTAGTGTGTGTTGGTCACAGTTTGCCCTGCATATACCAGACTGACATGTATTTAACAGAGGAGAGGAGACTGTTTTTGATATATGGTGTTAAATGAATCACAAGTTAAAGAATAGACTCATCCTTTTGAAGCGTGGGCATGGCCTGCATGTTGTCTAATCAGTATTTTGTGCAGTGATTACCTTGTATCTTGGACTTTTATTCAGAAGGTCTGCCTTCATAGTGACCTCTTAGCCTTTAACACTGTAGTATTATCAATTAAAATAATTTAAATGATCCAAAGCCTTTCTCTGTGCCATAACAAAAAGATACAAAGACATAAAAATAAATTATTGACACAATTGCACCAAAACATCCTGGCACTGAAAGAACCTTTAGAATTAATTAACATTTCCCCACGTTATTTGGCTTTCTTATTTAGTTTTTTCATTCCCTTCCATTTGGACAATGGAAATAGACACTAGTTTTACCTTCCAGCTGTTGTACAAGCCTTAGGCTGCAGTGTTTGGCATATGAACACCACAGGAGAATGTTAAACCAGACAAACCTCTTTCCATGGGAATAAGAAAAAACTCATGGGGACCTTTTCACTGTGATTAAGTTTTGACAGAGGTTCTGTAAATTAACTCTTAGTCTAGCAAATCACTTAAATATCTGCTTAACTTTAAGCAGGTGACCACTCTTACTGACTGCAGTGCCAGTAGTATTGATCCTTTAATATCTGTTACAGCATTTAAGAAGAGTGTTTCTCCATATGAATTCTACTAGAGTCCAGTTCTTGCATGCTGTCACAAAGACTAAGAACACTTAATCTCAGCTTTCTGCTTTCCACTCTTTAGTTACAGCATTACCCATTGTAATGTATTCATTGTATTTAGACAGTACTTTTTTAGTGTTACCATTTCACTTGCATATTTTTTTTTAATCCAGGGATATTAAATCCATAGACCAGTAGTAATTTTATTTTGAAAAGAAATTAAGTTTCTTTGGCATGATTGACTTTTCTCAAACTCATACCAAACCACATTTAAGTAATACAAACTACTGCAACTTTTTCCCTCTGTCCTTCCCTAACTGTTTTTTATGCTATTCATAAATATTTCTGATTTTTTTTTTAATTTACATGATTAGGCGTCTAAGTCTATAATTTTCATCCTCCTTTCTTGAATTCCCCCCTTCCCTCCCCCCCATATAGTGGACTGTAGTTTGGATCCTGAAATCTGGCCCCCTTTACACAGTCAGTAGGATGTCAGTAGGATTCCTCCTCACAGGTGGGAGAGACTGCAGGTGAAGTTAGTTGAAAGATTAAGATTCAAGCCTGGACTTCCTCCCTTTTTTCCCTGACCTTAAATTTCTTTCTTTCTGTCTCTGTCTGTTAAACGTAGCCAGCCAAAAATGAATTAACTGTTCATCTGTTAAATTCCCTAATTTAGTATGTTACCTGTGGCTGTAAACTGTTATTCCCTTTGTCATTTCAGTTTCATGTCTGAGGCATAAACTTATGCTGATTTTTTTTTTTTTTAAGTAAAATTTTATTTGAAATAATTTATCTTAGAACAGCTTGAAACCTACATTTGAGCTATCACATGTGTATACATATATTCACTGCATGATTTACACAACACAGTGACAACAGGGTAGAACTTTTTAGTTTAAAATACCCAAACTTTTCTTTGCAACTACCCAGTTGTTCTTTCTGATACTTATTTAACCATAATAAAATAATATCAGTGATGTTTTTATTTTTGAAACCTTTTTTTCCCCTCAAGTGGCCAACTTCTCAAACATAAATAGTGTCCCTTCTCAGCAAAGATCTCCAAAACAAGATTATCCCATGAAAAATCCTTTTGTAATTTGGCTCCACCATAGTGTATTTACTAAAAACATGCATAGTCATTCTCTATGAAAGAACAGTTTGACAGAAGGGATAATAGCGACTCCTGTACTTTTCATTTTGGAGGTCTTAAAAAGATTCCATGTGCCAAGACTATAATAACCATGTTCGTAGTGTCAGGACTGATTATTTTATACTGTTGTGTACCAGATAGCCCTTTTGTTCACCTTAACCTGTGTCCAATTTGGATATGAGAGGTAGATTTTTAAAAAAAATTTTAAGTGGAGAGGAATGTGGCTCTCCTGTGAATGCTGAGTAGATGCACACCTTTATTATAGACTAACTGAATGTGTGTATGTATATGTGGAGCACAAGCTTTTGTGAACCCAGGTTCACTTCATCAGATGCTGTATGACCTTGGGTTCATGAAAGTTTGTATGCGCACTCTCTCTCTTCCCCTCATATGAGCGAGAGAATCTTATTTAGTTAGTCTGTAAAGATGCATACCTATCCTGCCTTTTGACTGACTTCAGACTAATACAGCTAACTGCCTCTTGTACGAATAACATACTAAGACTTTTTAAATTCTTAAAATTATAAGTTGTCATTTGTGGAAGTTCTCATTTTCTCTTGTGGGTCTGTTAAATGGACAAGGATAAGCTAATAGTCTTATTTGTGCAGTGGCAGAGGAGATGCATTTTTTGTTGTTTTGGTGGTTTCTTTTTTGTGGTTTTACAATTTTTTGTTAAGGGTGTTTATTTAAAAGAAAAGTATAAGGAACTTGCTGTTTTCACTTTTCAAAGGTACTGCAACAGCCACCTACAGGTACTTGGCTTTATACCTAAAAAGGAGAGGAAGAAAAAGAATGATCCAATAGAAGAGGTGAAGGTCAGGCACCAGATGGATACTATGGCCTTCAGTCTGACAGTGCCTACACTGGCCTTGAAGATGCCCAATGGACTGGATGGGATGTCCCTCTCTCCACCAGGGGCTAGGCTTCCTCTTCACTACCTGGAAGCAGAGTTGGACGACCCCTTTGCTTTCAATGAGGAGGATGATGACCTAAAGAAAGGGGCAACGGTGAGGAAAAAGTTGCAGAGCAAGCTGGCCCAAAACCGGCAGCGCCAGAGAGAGACAGAGATTTTAAAAATTCGTCAAGAGCACTTTAGCCCCCTTCCTGCACCTTTGCAGCAGCAGCCTCTGCAGCAGCAGCAGCACTCCCATCTGCCACCTTTGTCAGCTTCTTTAAAGCCTACAGGGCTACCGCAGGGCTTAGTCTGCAAGTCACCTCAACCTCAGAACACCAGCCTACCAATGCAGGGAGTGGCACCCACCACACACACTATAGCACAAGCAAGGCAGTTGTCTACCAAGAGACCTCTGCCTCTCCTGCCACCTGCTAGGGCTCCTGTCATGGACCCACCAAGGACTGATCGGGTCCTAATGAAAGCCACAGCCTTCTCTCCGCACTCGTTCTGCATGAGCCGGCTACAGAGACTGGTGAAACTGTGCACTCGAAAACAGCAGCTGGACACTGATCTGTTTCCCCATCTAGGTAGGCAGATAATTAAATATATCATTGCATTGTGTTTTCAAGATGTTATGACATAACATGGCTCTTTACTAACCCTGTACTTCATTCACAGATGTCACTGTAAAGTTAATTAGCACGTGCCTTTGTGAAGGGATCTCAACAGGTGCCTATTCACAACACATCTGTCTTATATCTTCTTTTTTTTATTTTTCATAACTCTGTCTAAAATTGCTGCTTGATGATTTGAGAGGCTAAGCTGAGGCGTAGCTCACTCATAGAGGTTTGGTCTTAAAAAGCCTGAATATACCTAGATGGAGCAGATAGGTGAGATTGGACAGGCAAATTTTGTAAACCCAAGTATTAAAATCACGAAATAAGGAGGCAAATGCAGCTTTGGAGGCTGTATCTTGAATTCTGTGGACCTGCAATTGATTTCGCTGGAAATTTGGGGTTTAAAAAGATTTTTTATAATGGCTGGGGACCTGACTGAGCCAGGAAAAAGCCAGCCTTGTATAGCACAGGAGAACTTCAGGAGTTGATAGTAGGTAATGAAGGTTGGGGTCTTTCCACAGTCTTGAACAGAAGCAATCCATTTTATATATGCATGCATATACACAATTTCTGGTCATTATCTAAACAGTGAATGTGTCTACACAAGGCACCTTTATGTGCAGTGGAATGTTCTACTATGCATTAGTGCATCATGGCAAAAACCGTGCTAATGCACAGTAGAATTAGTCCACTGCATGTTAAGTGTCACAAAAAAAGTTTGCCTTTGCTACTGCGCATTAGTGCAGCTACTGCACCTTTATCTAGTACCTCATATTAGAGGTACTAAATTTAATCCACAGTAGCAAAGCTGCATTAATGAATGTGTAGATGCACCCAGTTAGTACTAATTCTGTTAAGTGTTGATATATTAGGCTGATTTATTTTTTTTGTATGAATTGTTACTGACTGGCAGGAATAATTCTCTTTGAAATTTTAAGCACTCTGATATGGCTCGGGTTTTGGCTCTGCTGTGTTCATTGAGATGCATGAACCCATGAAGTCACCTTACTTTTCAGTTAAGGTCTTTCTTAGTTAAGTTTTGCAGGAGATAAAGAATTGGGCAGTGAGCAAGAGAAATAAGAGCCAGAAATGTAATGCAGTGAAAACAACCAGCAGTTTGCATAAGAATTAAAAAAAAAAAATACTTCCAATAAGTCCAGCCAGCTCTTTATACCAGCGGCAACATATTACTTAATCACAAACATCTGTAATTTTTGCTATTTCAATTAACCTTTTTTAAATTTGCTGTTAAGAGCTGCCCTTTGGCACTTGTGGAATAATTGCACTGTTTGTTCAGAAGCCAATTAGTGTCCTCCAGCATGTCTCTTAAGGGACATCATTCAGAAAGAACACTATTTGATGGTCCTCTGGATAATGTAGTTATTTTGAGGAATGAGGACTTGAATGCTACACCAAATAGGTTATAAAGCTATCTGGCCTTGTGAAGTAGTGTAAAGGTAGTGTTGCATATCCAGGGTGTTTCACATTCTGCATTAGTGGTTACTATAAAAATAACTCCTCACATTCTATTCAGTTTTAGGGAATATTGTCATCAAATTTATGCAGGTAAATTTTTAGAAATGCTGTGCGTTAACCACATGAAAATGAGCACATTAAATTATAGCATTTTATAATTGCAAATTAACGTAACATACCTAATTATGTATCAGCTGTATCATAAATCAGAAAAATACTTACTTGCAAGGTCATAAAATGGGTTATTTTTGGAGGATTTTTTTTTAATTCTGCTGCAGTAAGTTCTGGGGTTTCTATTTAAGAAAATACTTAGTCCTGAAGCTCATAGGCACAAGTATGAAGTTTGCCAAGAGAATTGTTAAAAATATACTCTTAATTTTAATCTTAAACAAAACTGCAAACTGGTGTTTATACAAACCCGGTGTAAAATGAGGATGAGGCTGAATCTGGCTTTGATTTTTCCTTGTGCTCTCTCTTTCCACTAGGAATTAAATAATTTAATATCCCAACACATGATTATTTGATAACACTGCCTCTGTTGTGCCTATGTCTTTATGTTAACACCAGTCTGGCCTCTCATTCCTCCATCAGTAAAATCAGTGTAAAATGTAAATCTTTCTTATCCTAGTTTTCTTAGGATATGCACTTAGGCCAAATTTGAATATCTAGAATTCAACACCAAGAGTAAAATTTTCAGAAGGACCTTGATGACTTAAGACTCTGGAGTTCGGTTACCATTTTTCAGCTCATAAGTCAGAGTTGTGGCTCTGAAATTATGTAGACTCTATTGAAAATGTTATTCCCAAACTGCCTTTCGGTTCTTGAATTGGTATGTTGGTGTGCTAGGTATCTGGGTTTGTATAACTGACATTAACTTCTCTTATAGAGTAATAGCAATAAAATATTCTCTTTTTTGCTCCAATCTCTGTCCCATTTTGGGGATCACATGGGGGAAGAATGAACAGTGGCCAGTTTGTAAGTGTCTGCATTCCCCCTCTTGCTAAGGACTCAGCAAGGATATGAGGCAGAGAAGGGGGTCATGTGACAAATTGCAACTGATGACAGCCACAGTTTCTGGTCTGGGATTAGAGCTGGTACTGGGGCTGCACCCATGGCTGCAAGCACAGCTCCAGGATGCCCACAGAGGGCTAAGTGTAGAGAGTGTGTGTTCCCCTCTCCTCTCCTGTCAGCCGGGGGGATGAGTAGAGCTCACTGCCCAACAAGGTGCTCCCATCACTCCCTGTCTGGAAAACCAACTTTGTCTTCCTCCAGCTAGGAGCCTGTGCACATGTCAGCCCCTAGTGCTCTTGTGTTTTTTGTAGTGATAGAAACTTCATAGCACTATAAAAATAATGTTTGCCTAAGCCCTAGGTTACTATCCCGAGCTTTCTGATAGTGAAGGCCACAGACTAAGTTGATTCTGCTCCAAAAATCACTAACTAATCTGACATTAGTTGTGTGTACTTCAGTCAGGCTGAAAGGGGGAACACACTGCTTTAAGAGTGAATAACTGTTCCTCATTCTTCTTCTTTTGCCTGGAGCCTTAACCCCTTTTTCACTGATACGTTTTTTAGGTGGCATGTGATTACATAGAATATTCCTCTGCTTTGTATAGCTGTGTGTTCTCCTCTCTCCCTGCAGCTTTCTCCTTTGGTTATGCTATTCTGCTCTTCTTTCAGTGGGGGGAGCACAGGAGTTGTAATATGAACAGAAATGAAAACAGGTTATGTGATCTATTTAGATCCAAATCCAGCATAGATAATTGTTGGACTGTCAGTTCTCAGCAGAGACTTTCCCTTTACCTGTGTCTTTAAAGAATTAGCATGTTTGGTACAGGAATACTTGCCTGCATGCATGTAAGAATGGTGGTGGTTTGGGATTTTGTTTATGGACAAAGAAGGCCAGTAAAGAAATTAAAGGCAAAACTGATGATTGAAAAATGCAGTAAGTAACCTGCTATTTGCGTGCTGTAATGAAGCTGATATCATAACTCTTCCTAGGTAATTCAGAATATTGCATAATTCATCAAACATAATTTATCCTATGTAGGACATAGAATACCATTAATAGTTATTGCCACAAATTATTTGGAAATATTGAGGACAATGGGGTCTCTCTTTATCCATCTTTCATGGTCTGTGCTGCTTTTAGGGTTAGACTGGTCTGAAGACAGTGGAGAAGAGTTGGAGGACTCAGAGCAAACTTCGCCATACCGGGTTGCATGGTCTATCCGAGAAACTCTCAGATATGAAAAACATGAGTAAGTACCTTTTTAATTGTTCAGATTGAGTGCAGTTTAATGAAGAACTTAAATATGGACTTTGCTTTAACAAGAACCAGTGGGGCTTGAACAATTGCTACATTTTTGGCTGAATCGGGGCCAGCTCTTCTTAAATCAGTAGCAGGTAAATATTTTTGGAGCTATATATGTGAGAATTGTACTCGTTTACCAGAAACAAGGTTGGCAATTGAAGGGACAGGATACGTTGCAAAATTCTGTAATACATTTGGTAAGTCCATAAACTTGATCTACTTGAGGAGGGTAATATAAACAAACAAACAAAAAACCATGTACCCCAAGAGAGTGCAGTAATAGTATTACCAACTAAATGAAGGACATAAATGTTAAACCTTCTTTTAGCAGACTTACATAGTCATTTTCATAGTGTTTTACCATTTCTTCATTTTACTTTTTTAATAAGTTTTAGTAATTTATCACTGAATTATTCTTCATTTCTGAAGACGTTGTTTTCATTTGCCCAAGACCAGTGTTTCTGAAACTGGGACACATGTACCACTGGAGGTATACAACAGACCTAAAGGATATGCAAAAGGAAGAAATGTGAGGGCAGAAAAATGGAAAGGGCAAATATAAATGGACAAAAAGGAAGAAAAATAAAAATGAAAAACAACTCTACAATATCCCTTAGGTTTGTGGAGAGCTTACGGCATAGTTGTATTGACAAAAAGTATTACATAAAATAATATACAAGAATTGCATGGGTAAACAGCACTATATCAAACCTCAGAAGGAATACACAACCAGTGATCCAGATCAAAGGAGTTGGCCTGTCTTCAATATAATTTTTCTAAAAGATCAACACACAGTTTCTTATAATTACAGCTGTTGTTTTCAGATGTCCAGAGCTAGAATGCCAGCTATTTTAATTAAGGCCATAAATCTCCAAAGATGCTCTTTCCCCAAAGAGAAGTGTACAAATTCATTGCATGTACCCACGTCTTACTGAATTCAGTAGAATGTGAGCACTGTGTTTTCCTGAATAGGAGGGTTTTCTAAATTGGGAGCATATAGTTAGATTTTTCTTTTTTTTAATGCTAACATGACTCCAAGTTCCCACATTTTCCCCTCTCGTGTTTTTGAAAGTCTGTATTCTAGAAACACAAAGTACATGGGACTGGAAGGGCCTATTGGATCATTAGTCCAGTCTTCTGCTATCGCAAATACCATGCCATGTAAACTTTTTCATAAACTTAACCTAGGTTGTAGACACGACTGTCTTTGAAAATTGAAAAATTATAATTAAGCTCCATCCAATAACCAGCAACATTACTATTTAAATTTGTTATGAAGGACATGCTGGGAGGAGTAGGTTTCTGTTGATGGCGCAGAAAAGCTAAAAATGTTGTTCAAACATTGATAATCCAGGACTGTGATCTCACGGTAGGATATAACACATCTCTGAATTAATGTCATACTAGCAGCAGAGAATGAAGGCACACCAAGCAGGGTATTGTAATTAAATTGAGGTAAAAACTGAAAGAAAGGAGTTTGAAGATATTGATAACAAAATGAAATCTCACTCTTGACTAGTTTTTTTGTTACAGCTTTTATTATATGGTTCAGTTTTAGTGCACAACTAGATATTTTTGTCATATCTAAAACCATCGCTACTCTTTCCAAAAGACGCACATGGGAAAGGTATTAATGCATTCTTAGTGCCCCTGCAAAGGTCATATTTAAAATTTCAAAATTGAAGTGCTAAGTACACCAGTTTGCAAAGAACATTACCAGTCTCTGAAGGTTATCTTCAAAGTATATTTCAAAGCTGTGATCAAAACTTAGAGGTCTAGAAATAAGTCCTGAATTCTTTCACGAAATCAAGCATCGGTGACAATCAGCAGACCAAAAAAATCTCTTTAACATTTGTCTCTAAACAATAAAAATAATTATTTTTAACTGCCACGAAAATCAGTAGCTCTTACGGGATTTCTAGACTGAAAAATAATAGCTTCACACAAGTTTACTTAAAAAATATATTTAAGCTAAAGCATTTTTTTTTTTGGTCAGATGATTAATCCTTACCATCTGGCTACTGGACAACGTGCTTTCATTTTGATTCTAGCTTTCCAGTTTGTTTCAAACCAAATGTAATTTCAGAGTCAGCACGTGTCTATCAAAGAACTTTTCCTGTGACGACTACTTTCCTTCCTAGACATTTGATCTGGCCCTTTCTTAAATTCCTGATTCTTTTTCAGCTCTCAGGGGTCATGTGCATCAGTTCTGTATTCTTTTCTTCTCAACTTTCACTGCATCTTTCCTGTTCTTTTCCAATCTTGAGTGAAAGTGCTACCTTGGATTGACATTTTCATTTCCATTTTAACATTTTGCTTACTTCAATTAAGCACTCTCTTCATTGATCATAACTGATACATTCTTGTACAGTACTTGCAGCTCTTATGCTTCAGTCAGTCTGCCTAGTTCTGCTCTTCAGCATCTCTTTTAATATTGTTTATGGATAAACATTGACACATTTGCTTGATTCCATCTTTTCAAAATTTTTCTTCTGCTTGGCAAGCTTCTGTCAAGGTTGTTATTAACTGAAACATTTTGCTGTATAGTCTGTCTGTTCCTGGAGATGTGTTAAGTTTGAATTATTCCACAGATGGGTTGGCTTATTAAAAGGACTCTGCTTTACTAATATTACAGCCATCCAAGTTAATGGCCAAAATCAACCAGCATCTCATTACTATAGTTTGCAAATGCGTTTTGGCACTAAGTTGTATAGAAATCTGTGGCTCTTCTCCCAAAACTTCAAGATTCTAAAATTATGTTACCAAAAATAGGGAAATGTGGCCCTTTTTTGTATTTAATAACAAACCTGGTAAACCTTATTCCAGAGTGGCTGCCCTGTGAACACATTAACTTTCATGGAGAGAATCAGCCATTGCTTTTAAAGGGGAAATCACACTACTTTGAACACCATTCTTAGAAAAGTTTCAACTTGTATCTAAGTGTGATATTTCTGGTAAACATCTTCCTGTTATAACAACCTGTGGTTTGATAGACAGGCACTCTGCAGTGTCCTTAACCTTTCCACTCTTTGCCTTCTGTGCTTGTGTCCCGTTTGCTGCAGTTTAGAAGAGGAAGCAATTTTCCTCTGAGCCAAGTCTGCTCTTTTTCTTATAATTCAACTCTCTCCAAACAGGAGTGAACTAAAAGCAAGTGGGCAACTTTGAGTGCCTTCATCTGGCCAGTTTGTGCGCAGTGGTTTGTATGAGAAAATTTTTTATCTTTAACTTCCAGTTAGACTTTTGAGTGATGGTATTGCCAAGCCAAGGTACTAAAAAATCTTGAGATTGCCTGTCTTGCATTCAAAAGCTTGTCTAACTCTATCCCAATTACATGGTTGGTCCAAAAAAATACTACCCTAAGAAATCTTTTCCTCCTGCATAATTTGTGGACCATCATGAGTACAACATCAAGCTTATGCTACCTCAAAGCTAATGACATTTAAAAAAAAAGATAACACCTTTGGAGTGATGTTTATTCATTTTCTGGCTTTTTAATCTTTGAGGCTCACTTGCTTAATTTGGGACTTGATATATTTACAGGACTCCAGAGTTTAAGGCTTTCAGACAAACACTAAATATTGTGAGACTTCACTGACTGTAAAATCTAGAGCAGCTCTCTAGCTGCCTATTTGGGCAGGGGAAATGCTTTGCAAGATCACTGGTTCCTGCAGAGAGAGTGGGGGGAATGCTCTTTAGGCTTATCTGAGTCCAGATTTGTCCCTTTTTATATATCAGTTAAACTGCAGATTATTTGATGCCTGGTTTTCATCTGTTTATACAGTGCAAAAAAAAAAAAATCCCACACAAGCAAACAAAGTTACTTCAAAACAAAACTCCACTTGTCAGCAAACACGATTTAATCCCTCTGTTGAAATTTAGCTAAAACTAGTGTTCAAAATAGACTTTCCCATTACAAACAGTAGGAAAAACATCATCTCTACCACAGTTAATCTGTTTGCAGTATAGAATAAACTTCTAAAAGAGTAAAATAAAAAGCTATCCAGTATCACAGAAAAATTGGAACTACCAAAAGATTTTCTTAATATTTAAGAAAGACAATAAAAATGTTATTAGTGTTCTTTCACATGCTGATTGACTTGGGGGATTGCGTAGCAATAATACACAATTAAAATGCAGCATAAATGCAGATAAAAAGTATTTTCTAAATTTTAAATTAAAAAGCACTAGAAATGGTGAAAGAGTAGGAAGGTTCTGAGGTTTCATTCTTATAACATGCAAAAGAACTGCACTGGAGTTTTCTTTTCATTTCAACAAAATATTGCTAAACTTAGCAATATAGATCTCTATAACACAGATCTCCTGTGAGGGAAGACCAGGATTCTTGGTTTCTCTGTAAAGTAAAGAACAGTGGTACAAGGGATGTTTTTTATGTGCCACGTCCGATAGCGTGACACCTGTTTCACTTTCTAAATGCTTTCCCTGTGGCTTCAGTGTGGTGGCTTTGTAAATAATTCACAATAAGTTCCTACACTAATATAGTCAATGACAAACTCCATAGAGCGACCTTTATCCTAACTTACCAGGACTGCTACATTGCAACAATTTCTCCATGGCAGATAGTCTGCCCTATTCTCCTCACTCCCCAATTTTACCCTATACAAGTGTAGTCATTAAAAATCTTCTCAGAAGTATGTATGGTGGCTAGGAAAGAGTTTCAAGTGGCATAGATAGAGGCACAGTATAAGTACACTAGAGGGGCAATCAAATCCCTGCAGTTTTCTAGCTCTTTCTATTCTGTGTGCTACCTCCTACTGGAGAGAACCTTCTTGAGGACCCCTCCCCACTCCATATTTCTTAATACTTGCTAAGAAAGAGTCCATAGTCGGAGATTCACAGTGAGATTGCATATATCAATTTCACTTCTAATCCCAAATTGTTTTAAAAGAAACTCTATATAAGAACATTTAAACACTGGGTGACAGGCTG